GAGGCGCGTGCGTGTATTACTTTGTAGATGTAGCAAGAACGCTTGTCGCTGCGCTTGGGCATGTCTGTTGTTCGTGCGCTGAGCGTCGGAACACAAGCCACCTGAGTGGGAAGCAGCAATAAGTGGCCGCCGCCTAAGGTGCGTGGAGCTTCTATTATCGTGGCCTGCGCGTGGGTCTCCGCAAACGCTTTCCGTCCGCTCTATCCAGTGCGTGCTTGACAGGCGACTGACTACCAGTACGGGCTATACTTACGGTGCCCGAAAAGGGCGCCATCTTAGAAAGCGAAAGCGCTTCGTTGCGCAGCGTTCGCTCCCTGCCCTCACTGACACTCGGTCTTGTCCGACAAGGGCGAGTGAGGGCAGCTTGTGTGTGGTTCAGAGTACGGTGGCGGGTCGCTCGCGCGGGCGGAAATTTATTGAGGAGACCCCGATAAGCGGTGCTGCTCGTGGGCGCGGTCCATTGCCCCAACGTGGTATGTTGGGGCCGTTCTTCGAGGCGGTCTTGGGGGCACGTGACCCGCCAAGTACGCGTGTCACTGAGCGGCCACGCTCAACTCGTATATCGGCAGTGTTGTGTAAGTGCGGCCGGTGCTGGGAGGCGTAAGGAGCCTTTAAATCGATGCATCCTGGCGCACAGATGCCTAAAGTATACTGACGCTAACTTCGTTGATTCACTGCATAACTTGAAGCACTGAAAGTGGTAGTGCTCTGTGAAAAGGGTGGTGACAAACGTAATTTGCAGGAAACGAAGCAGGTGACAATCAATATCGTGCGCATTAATGCCCTGCTTCACGTGCAGTTGCTCTTCGTTTATTGACGTTGCCGGCATTGTTCACAACGCTGAGTGAAACTAATGGAATAATGTATGGGAGATCCACTTTCAGATTAGAGAGCATTGGCTTTTTCCTCTCGTTCAGTGGCAGTATGTTGAGTGTTTCGTTCGTCCATTGGAAATTTGTCGATACGTTATATTGGGAAGAAGCTATGCAGTAATAACTGCCGTTGATTTCCGAGAATTGAGCCCCAGAGCACAAAAAAACTCTATAGTTACTTGGGTTCTAGATTATTCTTACTGCACGCAATAGTGTTTGTCTTTCATAAAAAGTATCATGTCCGAAGCAGGGGGGGGGGGGGGATCCTGGTATTACTGTTTTCAGAAATCATTACGAAACAACGGTTTTTCGAACCTTGAGGCACCATTATCTTGACGGAAGATCACAAAATGCTACATGCAAATGAGCGTTATTTTTAGAAAGACCTAAGATTTTTCGCGATTAATGCGATCAAAATAAGGCCTTTATAGGTCCTTATAGAATGATAAAAATACTCCGGAAGCGAATAGAGCGAAAACATTGCCACAGTATTGTGGCTAAATTAGAAAAAAAAGTAGCGTGTTGATTCATATATTGGCTTCACTTTCGCAATGTAGCGGCTCAAGTAAACATATGCCTTATACACAATTGCGTTGTGTGGTCTGCCTGCCTGACACGCAAAAAGTTTCAAAAGAGTAATTCACGTTTTAAGTGAGAAAAGGGTATTTCAAGTCTACAACCTCAAGGTTGTAAGAAGGTTGCCTTTGACTCCCTTCTATGCATAACACTACAGCACAGCATTCTATCGGGGACGTTTTTTGTTGTGGATAATGCAGTTCACGCAATTGCTGACTACTAACTTTATAACACTGCTGTCCTAACTACCTTTTATGTAAAGCATCTGGGTACTTCGATTATCTCCCCCCTCTCCATTTAGTATTCGCTATCTCATTGATTCCGTTCAAAAAAGCCTCATTTCCTCAGTTAATAGCAGTGAAAAAAATGTATCTACTATCTATGCCACTTGATGAATCTGCAGCTTCGTAGCTTCAGGGAATTTGAGATGCAGCGGAAAGCGCTAATCTTGCGTCGACAACATTATTGGGGGAAGTGAACTTAAGTGCTAGACCAGTGGAAAGTGTGGCCCGCATCGTCGAAGATAGTTAAACCGCGTAAAGACGAACTTTTAGGAAGTTAAAGAAAAGAAAACATGGCATGCGTATGGCAGCTGTGTAAGCGGAAGCACCTCCGGTTGCGAGAGGGCAGAGTTCAGTGACGATGAGGAAGGCGCGAAAGCCGCATCTTTACCCTTCTGATGGAGTCCAGATTAATTTCAGCGAGCCGGAACTGCATGGGTCTCGCCAAGCGACCGCCCATTTATTGAGTTAGTGGAAAGGTTGCCTCGCTTTTGGGGAGATCTGCCCACTCAGCTTGATTGAAGCCCTTTGGGTAAATCGAGACCCGACCCCTCGAAAGATTGAGGCGATCAGGAGTGATGAGTCGTTCAGTAGCAAGCGAGAGAGGCAGAGGAAGATAAGGCCTGGCGAGTTGTATCGCAGACATTTTCTGACTTCCGGGTTTTTATTTTCGGTTTTGTGGACGCATATATCGAGTGAGAACGGGTGAGCCATTTTTATTTCTTATTTTTTATCTGGCGTGAGAATCGCGGTTTATTTTCCCAAGTCAATGGCAGACCATGCAAGTCAGATAAAACTCGTGTTCGACAAAAATGAGCACAAAGAAATTACCGTTAATACTGAAAAATTGGCACCAGTACAATAAAGCCTCATTTCTGACCTTCTGTGGAAGTCTACACAAGCTAGTGATAACAATTGAGTTCAGTTTCGTAAGATGTCTGCAAAAAGAATGTAGAGGTTTTGGCGCTCCAGTGATGACCTGCATGCCGCGGGGTCGAATCCCGACCGTAGCGGGCTCATTTTCGATAGAGCCGAAAATGTTTGAGCCTCGTTCACTAAGATTTAGGCGCACGTTAGAGAACCTCGGGGGTTGAAATTTCAGGGATCCGTCTCATTATAACCGCCTCATATATAACTATATTACGGTTCTCGAACTTTCAAACCAATCCGTTCATGTTGTTGTTGTTGTTGTTGTTGTTGTTCTAAAATCTTCAAAGAGCTGTTTGAACACACAACAAAATCACGGCACTTAGCCTGGCGTTTTTTTTTTGTTTCTCCTTATTGTACTGCTTTATTTGCACTACCATTTTGAAAATTGATGAAACAGCTCACCCAAATCAAGGTCTCGCTTGTTTTAACACTTACATATCGAAGTTGTATAATCATTGGCAGCAAAATTTAATGAACTCACTAATTGCAAATAATAGTAACTGACTGCCGAAAAAAAAGCACGCACTTATAAATAAACAATGTCATTGTTCTACTTACTAAGCTTGTTTCGATGATGTTGCTCAAAATTGAGCTTTAGCTCTTGATGTCCACAGCATTGTTTCTCCGTATGTAACTGACTTCTCGGTAAACTATGATTTTAAAATAACAACGAGCCGCGTTGATAAAATGAATGTAACATCGCGTAACCAGTCATTTTGAATAAAAATCACGTAAAATAACGAAAGAAATGACGTTGCTAAAATCACGTAACAGCTGGTCAAGTGACATGTTCCTACTAGAGTTACTGTATATGCTACCTTTAGGTAGCGGAGTTGCGCCACTGTTTTCCGGGCGCCGCTTCGCTCCGCCTGCAGGAGTTCAGTGCTCCTATCCGCCGAGCGCCGCCACGTGGTCATCAGTGGTTCAAATACACTGCGGAGAAGCCAACACTACGATGATTCCGGGCAGATCAAGCGTGGTTGACATCGGACTGTTGTGTCACAGCTGTCGTGAGCCTCGATTGCAATACGAGCGCAATAGAGAGCCGTGCGTAATATGGGCGTCTCACGGGCACACTCTCGATCGCTGTCCAGCTCCATTCAGTTGAAGGCGATACAAAAACACCTAGCTCCCTCGCACAGTTAACGAATGAGTCCAATATGACGAAAAAAGTTTTATCCCTAACTGTTTCAATTGCCTTCAAAAGTGCAAAAATAATTTCATATTTGTAAATGAGGAAAGCAGCGTAAAAGGCGAAGATAGTGTAACCAACCATAAATATGTATCTCACTGGTTGAACGAGCTACGCTCTTAGTTTTATTAATACATACCAAGAACGTAAGCATCAAATCAAGGCTTCTAGGGGTGACCGTAGCAACCGAGTTTCACTCATACCTTAAAAGAAAATTTAAGTAAAGCGAAAAAAAAATGAATAAAGAAACGCTAGTACCATAATCCCTCAATATTGAGAGACTATGTAGCACTCCGAAGCGCGAGCGTTGCTCCTACGTGGGTGGTGAGTGGCTTTCTCGCAAGACATTTGAACCCAAGATGGCGTACCTTGGCGAAACTCTGCTACCTAAAGGTAGCATACGTAGTAACTCTAGTTCTTACCAGTAACCGCGTGATAGCTAGCCATGGTACTAAACATCGTAAAGAGTCACACGGCAAAAATACATGACCGAAATCACGTTACAAGTGCCAAGACAAAAATCAGGTAACTAGTCACGTGACTAAATGACGTAAGATTGATGGATATATAGGGTGTAACGTCCCAAAATCAGGATATGATTATTAGAGACGCCGTAGTGGAGGGCTCCGGAAATTTAGACCACCTGGAGTTGTTTAACGTGCGCCCAAATCTGAGCACACGTGCCTACAACATTTCCGCCTCGATCGCAAATGCAGCCGCCACAGCCGGGATTCAATCCCGCGACCTTCGGGTCAGCAGCCGAGCCCCTTAGTCACTAGATCATCGCGGTGGGGCTCACGTAAGATTCCGTACCAGCTAGGCACGTCACTAGAATTACGTTTCGTCAAGTTACAAATTGTCACGTTAATAAACTGTCATGGCATCTCGTGACACGTGATTAAAATCGGGATTAAAATCGCAACACCCCGTAGCAGGTATCTACGTGACATGACCCCGTCAGAACGACGAAAGACCTTCGAAGTGTATGCAGAGTGCATCTATAGCATTTTAGCATTGGTAGCAAAAGGTTCTAGCCTTGCGCCACTGGTGTGAGCTGCGCACATTTTTTCGCTATGTTTTTGTTGTCTATTTCCCGATTTTTTTTCCGATAGTTTCTTACCTGCTTTTCGTTTTTTTTTTGTTTTTCAGTATTTACCTCATCGCATCAACATGCAGCTTACCCTTCGTAGCCAGTGCGGAATCGCTAGACCTGGTCCCGAACCTGTGTCGTCTCATGGACCAACCGTTGTACTGTCGCTGCGACTCCGAGGACATCCCCGACGACGCCACGGAGGTCTCATGCTACGTCACGAGACCCCTGACAGCGGACCACCCCGTATTCAAGTCATTCCAGAAAGACCTCTCTCTCGTCTCCCTGTCGTTCAACGCCTTCAACTTAGCTAACAAGCTGACCTTCGTGCCCTCGGAAGCCCTTAGGCAGTTGACACACCTGGAACGCCTCAAGTTCACCCAATCGGAACTGGGCGTGCTGAAAACGCGTTCCTTCTACAACCTCTCAAAACTCGCATGGCTGTCTCTTGATTCGAACGCCATAACCGAACTGGAGAACGAGTCTATTGCTCAGATGCCTCGTTTGAAGCGGCTCGAGCTTGGCGACAACAAGCTGAGCAGGATACCCGCCGGAGCCCTGCGCGGCCTTCCAGCGTTGGCACAACTGTTCCTGGAGAGGAACGAGATCAAGGCAATAGAAGACTTGGCCTTCGAGGAACTGACCGGCGTCAAGGAGGTGGACCTGAGTGACAACGCGATCGAGAACCTGACGGACCGAACGTTCAAGGGACTGTCGAGCGCCATCCGGCTCGACCTGTTCCGCAACAAGGTTCAGAGGCTCGAGGCGCGCGTGTTCAGCGGGATGCCGCAGTTGGTCGAGCTAGACTTGAAGTACAACGGTGTCACCGAGGTGGATCCACTGGCGTTCCACGGCCTGCCCCAACTGAGCATCCTGTACTTGTCGCACAACCGGCTCCGCATTCTGCCCGCTCAGATGTTCATGGGTGCACCCAACCTTATCACTGTGGACCTGTCGCAGAACCAGCTGCTCACGCTTACCTGGAGGACGGTCCAGGACTTGCGGAAGATCGACTCCGAGTCCTTCGACATGAGCCTCACCGGTGAGTAAGAGCGTTCAATTACTGCCAAATGTGTCAATGTGACTTGGCTAACTATACTTCTCAAGCCTGATGTGTCGGCTGGTTGGTTCCCGAACAATAGCGCAGCACAGCTCAAAATGTGAGACAATAAAACCTACAGGAGAGCGCTGTGGCTTGTTTGTTTCATGGTTTTGTGTTGCGCCCTGCTTTGCGATAATCCTAGAAATCTGTTTTATATGCGAGGACAAATATTGGCGTCATGTTCGCCCCCCTCCTCCCTCTCTATTTCATTCCTCAAACGTTCGTATTTTGAAAGTGGTGGTGTCCTGGCATTCCCCATTACTAGCATCATACGAAAACTGGTAAGATAGTAATATTGTAGATTGAAACTACTTAAAACTTGTAAAAGTTGGCTAACGAGGAATAATGCCGGCTAGATATGCGTATATTCTTTGTCGACTAATGTTCGTTACATGGCCAATAAATTGCTAATGTTGGCAAGGGCTGCTCTATTGTTGGATGTCAACTACGGCAGGCTATTGTAACACAGCGGCCAGTATTAGCCCTGCTCAGTTTTTCTTATGTTGGTGTATTATTTACGGGAAACAATGGGGCAGAGCTGTATTTATGCGTATATACGGACAAAAGTTTACCGCAACGAATTATACTTCATTAGGTAGGGTTGTACAAAAGCGCGCGTCATTTAGTGACTGATTTCTCCTTCCACGAAGTAAGGGCACGTCAATATGTGAACGCATTTTTCAATCACATTGTCTGGGAAGAAAAACTATTACAGAAAAAGTGCCCCCTTTTATGCGTATAAACGAAGTAATTAAAGGCATTCCTGCCGCAATCTTCCTAAGAACTTCGTCCTCCTTGGCATTGCGACACGCTGGTCTTTTCAGTTAGGATAATTGCTTCGTTCCGTTGCCACTCGCAGCCACGATGGTAACACGTGATAAGTCTGTGCAATATTAATGTCCTGCAATCTAGAAGTGACTGTGCCTCTTAGGTTGGCGTAATATCTGAAGTGCAGCGCAGCCTATAGTATGGCTCTCGAATTGCAAATGGGCTACAGTATTACTACATTTAAAAAAAAACACTTCCGTTTGAGTTTTCGGCTCTGTGAAGCTTGTTTTTATGGTAACTCGTACTTTGTGCTAACACTTTCCACACCAATCAAATAGTGTGCATAAAAGAGCTGCCTGCTAGCAACTTGTGTATATTTTTGCGCCGTCACCAACAGCTACGCAAAGCATGTGTAAACTAGTGAGTTACAACAAAGAAAATGTTCGTAAACAACGGTATGAGTCGATGTTCGCAAGTATAGTTATAGCAAAAGTTCTGTCACACACATGTTTAATAGCTATCAGATCTCCGTATATACATTCGTGGGATTAGTCGGGTCACTGCACACAAATTCGTAATTTTGGCGGTAGATAGAGAGTAAGAAGAAATACGGGAACGTCGGAGGTCAACTATATTATGCGTCCTGTTTGCTATATATACCGTATATACGCGTGGCCAAGAGAATAGGGAGTAAGAGAGGGAAAGAGATAAGAAAGGAGAAATGAAGTTCACAACAGACACAAAGGACCGGGTTTCGCAAGTGGTCGTTTAGTGCTGCTGCTGCCTTTCAGCACATGAATCATGTTTACGCGTGCATTTAAAAAAAATCTTTACTGACATGAAACCGAATTTACAAAGCTTCTCTTTGGCAAAAAGCTCATGTGTATACTGGTTGCACGGCTTGTCTATTCCCAGCATCACAATCAAATCAAGTCAGATCAACACAGTGGGATGAAATACGCAACTATTAGATGACTTAAATAGTCGGCTAGCGACACGTTCGATTGCTGCAACAATGCGTTAAAGTGTAAACCTCTGCAAGTTGGTACGAATTCGTGTTGTAGGACAAAGAAGATGACAGAAGCTGCAGATGACTCGCAAGCAAGTTTAAACACATACAAAGTAAAAATATGTACGGTGGCAAAAAAACTGCAAAATAAGAGAAGAAAATGCAAGTGAAATATCTGTGTGTTCTGCATTCTGCTCTTATTTTTTTTTCTCAACACCATGCGTGAATAAAAAGGGGGGGGGGGAGAGGAGGCTAGTTGGTGCGAATGCATAGCGCTTTCCTAAGAGCGAAACGACACAAGAAAGAGTTCTTCTGACAAGAAAGAGGACAGGACAGACCGTTTCCTGTCTTCTTGCTTGTGGTGTCGTTTTGCGTTATTAAAGCAATATTTTTTTTGTGTGTCTGTAGAGTTCTCTTCGTGACTGTATACATATTCCCTTCGTATGCATGGTAATACACTTAGTTGCGAGTCCAATCTTGTCCTGTTTTTTTTTTTTTACCGTCCCTTGTCATTTGAGCCGTTGTTTTTGGTGGTTCATGCTGCCCGAATTCCCGAGAACCAATGTCGAAGTTTATCTTATTTTGTAAAAACTTTTACTGCAGGGTGATCTACCACACATGGCACTTCTCACTTTTGTGCGAATCAGTGTTGGGCGAGTTCTTTCGAGTTCACCGGTTGAAAATGCGCGGCAGGATGGTCACAAAACAAAGGCGATTGACAAAAGACGACGCACTTTTAACAATTGAAATTCCGTTATTCAGAGCCAACATTTAGAAAAGGCAGTCCGGCGGCAATTTCCGCCATGATGACCGATGACAGACCTATAGCGTCACATATTCTACTGGCAGGTGTCGTAGTAGTTACTCTGTCTCTTTTTAATACAAACTGCTGTAGGAGTGGCTTATGCCCCTCAGACCTTCTCGGCTGATGTGAAAGAATTTAGTTATTATCCTCTGCGTTTACACTTGGTGTCTGTAAACTTTTTTTTTGAACAGAGGCCGGCACTGGTATAGGGGAAAACACAGCCTGCGTTTATTTCCTTTATTTCGAGACGGTGTTTCAGGGCATTTTCAAGCAAAACAATTACTCAGTTTTGAAGTATCATGATCGGTTTAGTTAGGTACGCTATCTTACTCGCATGCAATGTTTCCACGCAATATGAATAACTATCGGTTGTAGCAACAATAGTAGCACCTTTTCTCGTAAACCTTTGTCCGCGACCTCAATGGACCTTCGTGACACTGACAAAACTTTATTTCAGGTACGAGATTACACACGTTATTTGTGTCAGCCTCGGAAGCGACCTGCTTCAATGTTACTCAATGTTTTGCTTTCATCTTGCCGCAGGCAACAAGTTCGGATGCGACTGCCGCCTGGCGTGGATCCTGCACCTGGAAAAAGCCACGCGCAACGAGAAGTTTCGGCGCGAGCTGCGGCATGTCAAATGCAGCTTCGAACACACGCCGGCGCCGGGCAACCTGAGCAGCGGTACCAAGGTGGCCAGACTCAGCCTCAAGGATCTGGGATGTCCCGAAAACTACGAGCCACCCGAGCTGCCTTCGCTGCGCGACAAGAAGGGGCCACTGTCGGCTTTCGCCGGCAAAGGTGGCAAGCAGGGCTCTGGCGACGACAACGGAAGCAACAAAATTGTCGAGCGACCGCCACAGTCTCCAGTCGAGGACGTCCACCAAGGTGGACAGAGGACGGGAGACGGCAAAGATGTCGAGAACGATGTCGAGGTTGCCCTCAGTCAACAGAAGGCTGCTCCCAGCGAAGCCGTACTTCGACGCAATCGCGACAGACACTCTGCGGCATCCTGGGTCCGCTCAGACAGAACTGTGTCGTGGCTTTTGGTCTGCGTCGCACTAGCGCTAGTCAAGGGATCGAGGTGACGCCCAGGGTGATTCGTAAGTGACGTGTGTGATCGAGTGTTATCACTTTATTCGCTTTTTTTGTTTTTGCGAGTATTTGATAGTTATTGTAACACAATTTTTTTTGTGAACAAATCTACAGAATAGACCCTGCAATTGCCCACGAACACGCTGTGATGACGTTGTTGGTGTTTCAGAGCATCGACCAAAGACTGGGCAATCTTTGGTCACGTGTGTAAAGCTCCCGATCGTGTTGCCAGTTTCTAGGGTGCCTGGCGGGAACTGTTTTTAACTCGCTTGCTTTTGGCCCCAAGAACTGTTGCTCCAGTTGCTCCAGTTCCGTTTCACTGTCTGTACCACAAACAAGTAGAGTTTGTTGTTGACTTTTCTGCACGAGCGTTTATGTGTCACGTTGAGTGTCCCCCCCTATGGCGCTTGAAAAGAGTTGTTCATCGACCATGCCTCAAACTTCGTATTTTTCTGTTTCGTCCTTGACATTCTTCTAAACGCTTAGAAGTCTAGAATGAACTTCTAATTCAACAAGAAAAATTCTTCATGCATCTCAATTTCTTCTTCTTCATATTCCCAATTTTCTCAAACAGAACCTCTAATATACACTTGTCTCAGCACATGCCATTGAGTTCGCATTTTGTTCGCACTGATCAGCGGTATGTCTGGTTAGCTGTATTGGTCAGATTGAGTGCATTAAGCACGTGAGTTTTAATTCATTATTTGCATGCGTAGGTTGAGGCAGTGTCGTACCAAATTGGTGACTCGGCTTTTGCCACACTGTAGGGAATAGTAGCTTTCTTTTGTGAACCAGGCTGAAAGAAGATATCCAAAAGATATCGCTACTCCAACAAGCACTAAAATTTATTTTGTGGGTTGTTTATTTTGAACCGACGAAGGCTCTTTTCGAAGTACATATTTACTGTTTCTGCAAAGCACAAACTTACACTTATTGATTAAGCATAGTATAAAGTTGAGAAGTACCGAAAGAGGCCAATCGCCATCATGACTGATCGGGAATCGCCGCAAGTGCCGCTGAATGGTGAAGGTTATAGAAGTTTAGCACATATGTTACACGCGAACATTGAGGAGCAGCGCTTATTGCACTCAACGCGAATGATAAATGCAGTCATTGTCACGTGATGAGTAATATGAAAATTCATTTCTAGCTTGTTTGCAGACGCTCTGTTTCGCTGCTCAAATCATCCCTAACAAAACAGATTATATGTGAAGCAGAACTGATCGATTGGCAGGCGGTTTCCGTGCATAAAAAATCCCCTGCAGTCGCGCCTACATTACTGACTCTCAGTAACAAATGGTAATAGTCTTCTCAAAATAGGAATTCCCATGCACTTTTTTCACATGCATTTGACAGCCTGTTTGCTACAGGGCAATCGAAACTCACGTTTGAAGGAGCAGCTCTCATCAGCTATTTGGCGTCTGTTTTTGAATATTCCACTTTTTCATTCATCTAAACTACTTTAAAATTGTTTTGCGGTGAATAACGCGTATTTTTGTAGTGTACCATGCTATACTTCTCCACGAAATGGTGTGCTCCCTCTAAGTAAAATAAAGTTCTTTTTCTTCCTTCCTCCTCCTAGGTAACTGACAAAGGTTGTTGTAAGATCACTGTGTCAATCATTCTGTTAGCGCACTTTTCATGTCGACCCCGAAGACGTTGTTTCCTGCTGCTATCAAATTCAAGAGTCCCTCTGTACTCAAATTTTAGGTGATGACGATATGATCACTACGAGATGAATCACCTCCAATGCCTCACTATTACGCAAATTGATGAAATGCGGCTGCTGTATACGTCCCTAACGCGTTTCGTGGAACGTTATTTCCCAGTGGCCTCACCTTGTTCATATCAAGGCTCTGAATAATGCGTTCGCAAGCGCACTGCTTTAACATTGTCGTGAATGCTTCAGTCACATGCCACCACACGGTAGCTATCACAATGATTGAATGCGACGCTTGAGTCTCTGCGACACATGCAGGCCAGGAACCGTAAACTTGAACAAGACCATTCATATTGAAAATGGCTACGTTTTGAGGACTATTTGAGGCCTGCGTTGTGTTACTTTGGCTGATTTCAGCTTCAATATGCAGAACACCACTTTCCATGAACAAATTGTGAGTTTGCTGCTTCTTGTAGATATACGTACCAAGCACCGCAGTTTTTGCGTTGCAGCCCATCTAGCTTGTTTGCATTTCATATCCCAGTCTACGAGCTCTAACATGTGACGCGCATATTTATGACCGCAAAGGTGATCAACGCCAGCGGTACGCAGTCCATAGCTGCGTCATTGTGCAGAGTGCTTCTTCAGGTAATACTTCGCGACTGTGCATAAACTCGCTGCCTTGCCTCTGCACGTTATGTATTCGTCCTTGCACCGGAAAGCGAGAGTCGGAGTTAAACTGTTTCTTGTTGATTCTGAATGAATGAGATTATTGTCGCTTAGACGCGCCAGGTGTGTTGTGGCTTTCATTACTCGCCTTCACTGCACGTCCCCTTTCGCTGAAGTAACTTATGTTGCCGTTCTTAACAGACTTCGTCATTTCATAAGTGGTTGTCGAATAGTTCAGGGTTTTCAACTGACATGCTAGTTTGGGAAGAACCCTACGTAAATGCAAGCATATTCCGCACAAGTAACAGCTCCGCATTGCTTAATCTTGGTCAACATTAAGCCGTATCTTTTCTCACACGTCACATTATTTTTTTTTTCTAGAGTTCTATTTGATTCATCCCGTCACGTTCATTCTTTACCAAAAGACACTGTGCCATCGCTGATGTTGAAACCTTGCGTGATGTGAAAAAGATAGTTTTGAAGCAAGTGGGAGTGATGTTACCGTGCACCTTACGTCAGTTTGTCGTTTACAAGAGCCTTGTTGACGTACTTAGCGACGCTGACGCTTGTGATGCAGTTGAATTCAACGCCACTTGCGATTGCAAAGTGACGATACTGTTCGGGAGGAGACTGTTATGAAGGGCTGAAAATAAAGTCTTTACAAGTGAATGCGACGAACTTGCCACGAGAAGGCATGTGGGTGCGCTTGCGCTGTTGTCTCTCAGCCGAATCTTTTAAGAAATATGTGTTGCTTGTATGATGCAAGTGTGTTCTTATCGTGCCACTGAAATTTCTTCTCTTCGATAGCTGCGTGTTTTTGTTTTTATTTTTTTGTGTGTGGTCATGACTGCTCGAATCATTGTGTGCATTGTTGTGTATGTAAACATCATACCAGTGCGGATTGACACATGAGTAAGCCTGTAAGAATTAAAAGTATGTAAAAGAAAAGACTATTTTAGTGATGCTGAAACGACGGTTACGTTCTGTAAGATACTGCGTTGACAATAAATGAAGCTGTTATGCCCGCGCAGCACACCAAGATACTTGAAGGCTCAATTTTTTTTTTCTGTCGTGGTTCAAATGAATGCTCTTTTTATAATACCTAGGACCCTATAGTCCTTTTTCGCGTGCGTGTTTGGTATTTATTATCGACTTGAAAAACAAGATATATCTGTTCAAGCCAGTAGCTATCTACCTCATGCTGTTTACTGAAAGTAATTTACTGCATACAAGGCAACAGGCAAGCAGGAAAATCTGTAATAACTCGTTCTTGTTTCTTTGCACGGTGATATATGTAGTTAATCAATCACTTGTGCCAACGTAACTCTCCACAACATTGGTGCTAGAAATATTTTTTAATCTTAGCTTTCACTCTATTAGCCCTAGAACACATCGAACACATTCAATTTATGATTTGGCCACTAACAGATGAGTTACATCAAATGAAGGTTCACTTGGAACTTTTTTCGATCATTGCGGATGCATTGAACGTGAGGGATATACTAACTTGGCAAATGGTCTGTCAAACTTTATTTGCAAATACACCTAAATTGTCGAAGAATCTGGTCCATCGAATGCATATAACAACACAAAAGTATTAAGAAATCGCCACTTGTTCCCACCGTAGAGATGGTTAACAAGAGAAGCTGAAACGTACGACTCCGGCGTTAGCAGTTGGTTAATCCCGAAAGAGCCAAACTTCCGATGGAGGCGGAAATGTTGTAGGCCCGTGTGCTCAGATTTGGGCGCACGTTAATGAACCCCAGGTGGTCGAAATTTGCGGAGCCCTCCACTACGGCGTCTCTCATAATAATATGGTGGTTTTGAGACGTTAAACCCCACATATCAATCAACCAAATCCGAAGGAGCCAAAGCGTAGCTACCATGCGTGGCCGCGGCGCGCACACTAGCGCCCCGCGTAGCAGGACTAGGCTGCGCAGTGTTTGTACTAAGAGGTGACAGCCCTGTATATGCTTGCTGTAGTAGGGTCACAATAAAAACGCAAGTATAATGTAGCTTGGAACGTTCACGCATAAGGGTAACCAGCCTTCGGCATTTAGTTACCCACACACCTATTTGAGAACGCATCATGTAAGCCCACAAGCGAAAATGAGAACTTTTGTATTATCGAGACCTATTTAATAGACAAATTCAAGTGACAGACGAAATTTTCGACAGGTACAAACTTATAGGACGCTTGAGCATTCCCTTCAAGAGTAGCATGCAATATCGTAATTGGTCGTAGTGGGCATGGCGATCTCATTTGCTAGCCTGTATCGGTTTTCCTTCTTGCATGCCAAATCGAGTCGTAAAGAAACGATTGATTGATATGTAGGGTTTAACGTCCCAAAACCACCATATGATTATGAGAGACGCCGTAGGGGAGGGCTCCGGAAATTTCGAACACCTGGAATTCTTTAACGTGCAACCAAATCTGAGCACACGGGCCTACAACATTCCCGCCTCCATCGGAAATGCAGCCATGGCGGTCGGGATTCCATCCCGTGACCTGCGGGTCAGCAGTCGAGTACCTTAACCACTAGACCACCGCGGTGGGGCGAGTCGTAAAGAAACGAACGCGTAAAATTGACCATTTCAAAGTATCCTATGGAATGCCTACTGTAAATGCAGTTGTTATGTGCTCACAACGTCATAATTATTTCTTTTTTCATATCAGTAAAAGGAAGACGTCCGTAAGAATACACGCGAACTTACGCAGCTGTCAACTTTGTAGACGGTTCTGCTGCTGATGCTGACAAAATGTGCCTGAGCGCTTTGTAATGGGCGGTCGTATAAGTTATAAATACCCCCTGGTTCTGCAATTCACTTGTTTTAATTCCTGGCACGCACCTGCTGGTCCCGCAGACAGCTTCGGTTCGGTTCTCACTTCGGCTGGAATTTTTTTATTATTTAATTTATTTGAGCTTTTCAATTTTCCGGTGACGGGCAAGACGATCTTTCACTGACATGTCACAACCAACGAAACAGTTACCAACGCGGACACCGGAAATTCTGCGAAAAGTGCTCTTTAACGATTTTAGGTTAAAATATGTCTACCGTACGCTTTCGTCGTACTGCGGCTTGCTCTGAACACGAAGTTTTGAAAAGACAAATTGATGGATTTCGCAATGAACACCTGAGTAGAGCACAATTACAACGATGCCTACCCCTCGCTGGATCTAGTTGTAAACCAGTCACGCGTTGGGAGGGTGTGTGTGCATAGTAATATAAGCTTAGCACGTTCACTTTGATCTCCATGGTTTCCCTTTGCAGGGGACCTTGCTGGAGCTGGTCGAACCTAATCAAAGAGGCACGTTTCCTGCTGCTCCTTCCAGTAATCTGCATAAACGTCATAGCCATACTTTGAAACGAGGACGGTGCCTAACGAAGCCTTTAGCTGGTTTGGTAGTTTTTTTTTTAGTTTCAATTTCATGCTGTAACCTAGCTGGTGTACGTGACGGCGCATATCGTAAGCGATTCATAGACACACGTACCGCAGGTATGCCTACGCTCCAATGGAAAGATAGACGAGACCTTCGGATCGTGCACAGCATGCTGCATACCTGCTTCTCAGGAGAGAATTGTGAACGTGCATTCAAAATACGTGCTTGTGGTGCGTGTAACAGTACGTGCAATTCGAGACGCAAGGATGATTCTTGCTGATCGAGCACAAAACCGGCGGTTTGAATTTGTGCGACCACAAATAAAGACACGGGTTCACGCCCTAATTGAACGATTGACGTCGACCAGTTTTCAGGCACTAATGAATGGCACGCTATATAAAGACCTTCTCTAACAGCTTGAGAAAACACGTGCTTCGAATTTCCTGTGAAAGAGAAAGGGCAGGGGGAGTAAGAGAAGGCGAAAACGAGATTGGCTCACGTGCGCAGTGAAGGTAGAAAAAATATGCTAGTTTATAGACCTATTATATGTTTCCGAACAAGGGTAGGCGCAGTCGACCTATTAGGGCCTTTGTAGCGATATCTCAGTGCGTAGGCTTCTCCCAACCCAAGGCTCGTCACCTCCCTCTATTGTCACGTCACTACTGGCACAACTGCTGCAAAGCTGCTGCAAAGCTGCCTCCGGACTCAGCGCACTGGTGAGCCTCCCGACGTGGGTAAAGGTAAGGCTTAGCCTCTAACACAGCCCGCAAATGCGGCAAACTTTACTGGCACTACACATTTCACGAGTTCTCGACTCTCAGAATTTGACTGGCTTTGGCAAAAAAAAAAAAAAAAATCGGGAATGTAGGTTACAACACAGCCAGTTCGTGTTGCAGCTGTGGACATTAACATCAAGTACGGTCGAAATTAAGCTCTCTGAAAGCTTAGGTCGTTGTCCTTCTCGGCGCATGTTAATAAACCGTGCTCTTCAACAGTCTCTTCAACTCGGGAAGTTTGAGTACATGCACGGCCACTGGACAAAAAAGAAGGTTTCTGTTATCCAGTGGTCGCGGTATATCGCTAATTTCGTTTTGTGGTTGCAACCTGACATATGCAGCCATGCATTTCTTGTACCATAGTTGCAATACTTCTGGATGTTCAAGACCCTTTGCTGACGCAACAGATCCGTTTCAGCAGATATGAATGCTTCATAGATTAGAATACTTAAGCAAAAACAAAGGGGTGGAGTTGGGGTGATGAGTGTTGAGAGCAAGATGAATATGACCGTGATAGTTTGTGCATTCGTTCATTCGGGATCCCTTTTATTTGTTGTAGTTATTTCTGCTGCTGCTGCTCTTGATGAGATGAGGCGCGATTGCATTTAGTTTCCATTTCATGGGCATTTCTTTAGGCGTTATTAGTTTTCATGGTCTTTCGCGTCGCCAATACCGTCTTCAGCGTTTCTGCTCGAAAAATTTACTGCACCTGTATTGTTCTGCCGCCACAGTGATCGCCGGTTGTGCGTACACGTTCGAGCAACTTCTCTTCTATCTATCTATCTATCTATCTATCTATCTATCTATCTATCTATCTATCTATCTATCTATCTATCTATCTATCTATCTATCTATCTATCTATCTATCTATCTATCTATCTATCTATCTATCTATCTATCTATCTATCTATCTATCTATCTATCTATCTATCTATCTATCTATCTATCTATCTATCTATCTATCTATCTATCTATCTATCTATCTATCTATCTATCTATCTATCTATCTATCTATCTATCTATCTATCTATCTATCTATCTATCTATCTATCGAGCAGCTTACGTCTGAATGCTATCATAATCACCCACTTAACTTGGGGTACACCAAAATTAGTACAGGAGGATACGATGGCTTGGCATATATGACGCACTCGTCGAGGTAAAAATGATGCCACGATCTCATCGCGTATATGGTCAAACATTTCCCAAAAAACAATGGCACATTCCATTGGGCAGGGATGTGCCACTGGTATGCGGATATGTAGCACTGGTGACCGACATTTTATATCTGCCCAAAATCGCGAGAACACACAGGGGAAACTTCAACGCTTGAGCATTTAAAACAAGCTGCCATATGCAGCGCTGACCGGAAAAATGCACACAATAAATGTCAGCGTCCGAGTAGAAATCGAACCTTAGCATTCTGCGCGGCAATAAAGTATTCTACCACAGAGCCTCTTGAGACAAGGTATATACTTTTCAAATAGACCCTAATGTTCGGGTAACGTCGATCGTGGTTGCAGTATACTGGCTATTTGATTTTATAAATATTACATATGCACTTCTATAACACAGAGATTATGCCGGGTTAACCTATATTGTAGTTTGGCGCCTTCCGCTGAAGTTGATTTGTTCAGCAATGTTGAAGGCTACCATTCTCGCGCGCACAAGCGCAAACTCCAGCGCTTCATATCAACTTACCATGTCTGGTGTTGCTAATATCCATGTTGCTGTTGGCATCGTTACACAATCGTAAAAACTGCTAATATAAAACACACCTGGCTGTTAAACGTATGCGTGTGCGTCAATTTGTACATATTGTCACGTGCTACAAAAGGTCTTCAACTAGGAAGAACTGAGCCGGCGGGGAGACGCACCGAAAAC